AAAGCAGCATTAGTAGTAACAGTAAAGCGAAGCTAAAGCTAAGACAAAGCTAAGACAAAGCTAAGCTAAAGCTAAGCTAAAGCTGAAGCTAAAGCTAAGCTAAAGCTAAGCTAAAGCTAAGCTAAAGCTAAGCTAAAGCTAAGCTAAATAAAAGCTAAAGCTAAGATAAAGCTAAGCTAAAGCTAAGCTAAAGCTAAGCTAGCTAAGCTAAAGCTAAGCTGAAGCTAAGCTGACGCTAAGCTAAAGCTAAACTAAAGCTAAGCTGAAGCTAAGCTGAGGTTAAGCTAAAGCTAAGCTAAAGCTAAGCTAAAGCTAAGCTAAAGCTAAGCTAGAGCTAAGCTAAAGCTAAGCTAGAGCTAAGCTGAAGCTAAGCTAACGCTAAGATAGAGCTAAGCTAAAGCTAAGCTAGAGCTAGGCTAGAGCTAAGCTAAAGCTAAGCTAAAGCTGAGCTAGAGCTAAGCTGAAGCTAAGCTGAAGCTAAGCTAGAGCTAAGCTAAAGCTAAGCTAGAGCTAAGCTGAAACTAAGCTGAAGCTAAGCTAAAGCTAAGTTAAAGCTAAGCTGAAGCTAAGCTAAAGCTAAGCTAAAGCCAAAGCTAAGCTAAAGCTAAGCTAAAGCGAAGCTGAAGCTAAGCTGAAGCTAAGCTAAGCTGGGTGAACCCAGGGGGCGCAACTGGGGGAACCGCGGGGCGGGGACTGGGGGAACCGCCCGGGGCGCTTTACACTGCCCGGCCCTTTAAACTAAGAGAGTAAGAACCCTTCTAGGCAGAGCCTAGGCATGTCCTCAATGTATTTCTATATATGCAGATATATGTGCATATATACATAACACCCATGTGGAATGCTGCATGTGTGTGTGCGTGTGTGTGTGTTCTGGCGCTACTACTACTACTACTACTACTACTACTACTACTACTACTACTACTACTACTACTACTACTACTTCTACTACTACTACTACTACTACTACTACTACTACTACTACTACTACTACTACTACTACTACTACTACTACTACTACTACTACTACTACTACTACTACTACTACTACTACTACTACTACTACTACTACTACTACTACTACTACTACTACTACTACTACTACTACTACTACTACTACTACTACTACTACTACTACCGCTACTGCTACAGCTACGACGATGACGAGAAGGAGAAGGACGGCGATTACCGCTCCTACTAATGCTGCTTTCCTAGAGGCTCCAACTCCTAGGTAGGGTCGCACTGGGATAATTTGGTACTTCTTATTTTTCAACAAGAAAAAGATTCTCCACGACGCGAAGGATTCTCGGGCAATGGCCGAAACCCTTCGGCGATCTTTCCTGCCGCAGTTCCCTTGCCACTGCAGTTCGTGTTCAAATCGAATCAAGCTCTTCTGGCGAACGGGACGATCCTCACTCCAGCATCGAGAGCACGGGCTGGTCGCAGCACCGAACACACATTGTTTCTCATCGCCACGCCATTGCTCATCTAAGGAGGCGGAAGGGCGATGCCAAAGTGAGCAAAGAATATAGGCACGCCGAATTTAGCACGGAAAACACACACACACACACACGCACGCACACACACACACACACACACACACACACACACACACGCACACACACACACACGATGTCCAACAGCAAAGTATGCCCGAAAACCAACAGCGGTCGCTGTTGGGCAAGCGACTTCTTGCCTCGAACAGAGAAAGCCCGTGGCGACACAGACAGCAAATTCGAATTCAAATAAACAAGAAATTATGTTGGTCTTCGTCCCCATTCTTTCCGTCAGCCCAGACATCCGCCGAAACGATGTTTCAAACCGCGGCCCCGGAAGTCCCGACCGGGGGGGGGGCCCTACTCCGTCGCCCCCGCTCCCCTCCCCACCCCCCGATCCGTCGCTTCGGACCCCCCCCCCCTGGACTCCCCCCCTGGACTAGAAAATCTAACCCCGCCCCTTTGGCCACGCCGCCACACTGGCTCCACAGCCCTACCCCTACCACCCTACCACCCCAACCCTGACACCTAACTCTAACACCCTCGCCCTAACCGTAGACCCCTAGCCCTTCCACCCGAAGAGCACGAACTCTAATCCTAACCCCCGTTGAATTTAAGATGTGTTTAACATGTAGGAAATGTGTTTAAAAACATGTGTTTTACATGTTTTTGTTAAAAAATGTTTAACATGTTTTAGACATCTGGAAATTATTTGGCAACATGCTTCACCTCCATCGATCGTCCTCCACAACGCCAGGAACCCCAGGGGAGTAACGCCCTCACACCTTGTTTTTCTCGCAAAGATCTACACGACCCGATGTGAGCCCCGTAGCTCGTGCGCGTGCCGTTCGCATCACGAGCCGAGGTGCAGACAGGTGCGCGAAGCAGAGGTAGCGATGCCAACTCCGATGGATCAAAGCGTTGCGTGTCGGCATCCCCTTATGGGCCGACCGATCGATCATAAAACCTGGCAGCACACAACAGCAGTCAAGGCGCCACAGCACAGGGCGTGACAACTCGTGGGAACATACCCCTGATTCCCAGGGCACCGCAGCGGGGAAATCAGCGGAGGAGGAGGGCGAGGAAGGAGAGGGGAAACACTGCATTGCATCCGACCGCACCGCGGCCACCGACGTCCTCTCGTGAGTGTATGTACCCCAGGGCCTCCACAGCCGCGCATTTAAACTCACCGTGGCACGATGTAATGAGACCAGCCCTGCAGCCATCAATGTACTGAGACAGCACCGTGCGAAGTAGGGTACGAAGAGGAGCAAGTCGAAGAGCGGGAGAGGAGGGAACGGAAAAGGGGGAAAGGGAGGAAGTGGCCAGAACGAGAATGAAAGACTAAATGATACACTTCGAAGGCAACTCCTACTGGCGGACGCTGGAAGCTCGATGAGTAACAGGAGCCCGCCCGGCTGGAGCGCCCGTTACATGCACGCGTACACCTACAACCACAAAGATCGAGACCCACGGAGAGGCACCGGAGGGGGGGGCGAAGGAGGAGGAAGTGGAGGCGAGGCAGAGGACTGGTGCCAACGGCAGCGCACCCAGCATCTGCCGACACGCGCAAAGCAGCATCTCAGAAAGCCTCCGTCGCTACCGAGGCGACCACGCAGCAACGTACGGCTGTAACCCTTGCAAGAGGTACCACGCCTCTCAGAAACGATAGCCCCGCAGAAATAAACACACCCTAACACCCTAATCCTAACACCCTACCCCGATCACCCTACCACGAATACCCTAACACAAACACTCGCCATCCTAACCTAACACCCTAGCCCTGGCACCCTGGCCCTAACCAATGACACCCTAGCCCTAACACCCGAACCAAAACACCCTAACCCTGACCCAAAAAACCTTACCCTAACACCCGACTCCTCACACCCTAACCCTAAGCCTCTAACACTAAAACTCTAGCCCTAAACCCCTAACCTTCCCAAAAAAAGGCGTGGCGAGGGGGGGGGAGGCGAAACCCCTCCCCCCTCTCCAGCACAACGGGGGGAGGGGGGGTCTGAAAACCCCACCTCCACCCCTTTTGAAGGGGGGAGGGGGGGGTCGAAAACAGACCCCCCTTGACTGGGAGGGGTTGTGCGAGCGCGCACACACACCCTCTTTAACTAAGTTAGGTGGGGGTCCACTGGCGCTCTCTCCCAATAAAGGCCCCCGGAAGCCGAAATCGAGGAGTAGTCTCCAGATTGAACAATCATTTCGTCAGAGATTCCAGATTCCGATCGCACCGAGCAACAGACCGGGCGGCCTCCCAGCGGTGCCCGCGGCGGCCGGCTGCGCGGATCCCTGCGCCCTGGGCGCCTGCGCCTCGGGCGCCCCGTCGGGCGCATCGGGCGCCCCGGACGCCTTGGGCGCCCCTGACGCCTCGGGCGCCCTGGGCGCCTCCGACGGCTGGGGCGCCCCGGAAGCCACGGGCACCTCAGGCGCCCCAGGCGCCCTGGACGCCGCCGCCTCGGGCGCCCTGGGCGCCTCTGACGCCCCAGGCGCCTCAGGCGCCTGCGCAGCCGGCGCCTGCCAAAGGGGGCGGGCGGGGGCTCAGCGAGGTCGGGGGCGCCAAGGCGAGGGGGAAAGCGGAGGATGGGGCCAGAGCAGGCTGCGTGCTGGGGAATCGCACTGCATTGCGGATGCCTCGGCCGCGCATCGGTGACGGCATTGGTGGAGAGCATCGCGCTCAGGGCCGCGCCGCATCGCCGTTGCGCCGGCGCGGCGCGGTCTTGCGACCCAATCTGCCCTGGCCCTATGACGGCGGGCTCGGGGGCAAACGGGGGGGCAGCGTGGCCTCGTGACAGGGGCAACAGAAGGGTAATCAGAGTGGCATCGCGGAAAAACGATACACATGACGACGTCGACGACGACGACGACGACGACGACGACGACGACGACGACGACGGCGACGGCGACGGCGACGGCGACGGCGACGGCGACGGCGACGGCGACGGCGACGGCGACGGCGACGGCGACGGCGACGGCGACGGCGACGGCAACGGCGACGGTGACGGCGACGAACGACGACGAACGACGAACGACGACAAACGACGACCGACGACGACCACGACGCCGACCAAGTCTTCGACGACGACTCCGACGACTCCGACGACGACGACGACGACGACGACGACGCCGACGACCACGACCACGATGACGACCACCGCCACCACCAGCGACCATGACGCGCCGACGCCGACGACGACGACGACGACGACGACGACGACGACGACGACAAGGACGACCACCGCCACCAAGAGCAACCAAGACGCGACGGCGACGACGACGACGACGACGACGACGACGACGACGAAGACCACCACCACCACCACAACCACCAACACCACCACCACCACCACCACCACCAGCGACGACGACGACGACGACGACGAGCACGACGACGACGCGGTCGCAGCGTGCGGCCGCCTCTGGACACGCCGCCGCGCCGCCCGGGCGCAGGGGCGTGAGCGCCGCCCCCGCCTCCACGCGCCGGAAGCGGCGCTGCAGCAACTTCGGGTGGGGGAGGTTCAATCCTCGATCCTCGCCCTTCCTCCCTCATCCTCCTCCTTCCTCCGCCTCCTTCTCCTCCCTTCTACAGCTTCCCCTCACCCTCCTCCTCGATCCTCCTCCTACCTCTTCCTCTTCATCCCTCCTCCTCTTCGATCCTCCTTCTTCTCATCCACCTCCTCCTCCTCCTTCTCCTCCGCCTTCTCCTCCTCCTTCTGCTCCTCCTGCTCCTGCTCCTGTTCCTGCTCCTGCTCTTCCTCCTCCTTCTCCTCCTCCTCCCGCTCCTGCTCCTGGTCCTGCTCTGTTCAAGCCGCTTTGGCCTAAGCATTTTGCAGAGGCCAAAAAGCGTCCGCCTCCTACCTGGTGCTGGGAGGGCACCAGCAATGTTTCCTTTCACCTGCAGAACACATCCCAACAGTCGTGCTGGTTGGCTGAAGCGACGCAGTGGCCAAGAAGTCCTCGGAGCAGCATCAGACGCCCGCTGCTGGAAGCACGCAATGCACATCGTGTGGCCATGCGGGTGGGACAACATCCTCCTCATCAACTAGTGTAAGTACCAGAAGTGCGAGACGAAGCTCGAGCTCTTTTGACATCAACAGCAGCAGCAGGCTCAGCAAGCGCCCAAGGCCGCAGACAGGCTTCGAGGTGCGCAGCATGGCCAGCTGGATGCAGTCAAGACGCTCGAGGCGTTCCGCAGAGTGGTGCAGGATGCTTCGGTCAAATTGCTCCTCGAGCAGCGCGTCGCGAAGACCAAGGCCACCACCACAGGACCGGCCGCGGTGCCAGCCGAGGAGGCCGTGCGGATGGCCGCAGGCGCCTAGAAGGACGCCTCGGCGAAGCACGCCCAGGCGCCAACGCAGGTAGAGAGGTGCACTGACAACTTGACTCACGCTCGTGAGCGCGAGGAGGAGACGGCTCGTTCGCCTTGCAGCATGGCAACAGGCAGCCCGGCGAGGGCGACGACGGGCCCCCCATCATCGACCTGCAGTGGGGCGCCAAGTTCTTCGAGCAGGTCGATGAGCTGGAGGGCAAGAACGGGGAAAAAGCAGAGCTGAAGAAGATCGCGGAGGAGCTGCGGTCTGCCAAGGAGAGCGTACAGGCCAAAGCTGACCAGAAGACCCAGCACTGGCGGGACAATGACCTCGAGCTGCAGACGAGGGTGCAGGACAGCGTGAAGAAGAAGAGGCGCACCAATGGCGCGGCAGACGGCGCAGCAGGCGACGGCACAGCGGAGGCAGCAGCAGCAGCAGCAGCAGCAGGCGCAAGCGCAACGTCAGCCGCAGGCCCCGCATCGCCAGTTGCATCCCCAGCCGCGCCAGGCGTGCCGGCAGAGGAGGAGATCAAGAGGGAGATGGAGAAGATCAGGATGGCGGCGGCAGCTGGCAGCGCAGCGGCGGACGTGGCGGTGGCGGTCGGGGGCTCCACGGCTCCCTCGACTACATCGCCTTCATCGCGGCTGGCTGCGGGGGCACCCAAGGAGCATGAGGACGCGGAGACGGGCCAGGACGACCTGTGCTCGCTATCCTTCGACCGTTTGACCTGCCTCGGGCCCAAGGCTTGAGGGCACATCACTTAGCCTGGCTCCCCCAAGCATCACCATATCGGTCTCACGGAGACGCACGCAGGCTGCCACACTCGGAAGAAGTGGGCTCGGCAGGCTCGTGCGGCACGTCTTCGGTATCTTGACGACCCTGCCCGTGCTACAGGACGAGCGACTTCGGCGGCCAATGTGGGGAAGGCCGACGAGGGAGGGGAGCTCTTTTGGGTGCAGGGTCATCGCGCCGCTCATCGTGCCATCTCTCAAGCTGGTGCCGTTCCCAGCTTCTGCGCGGAGGACTCAGGTGCTCTCGACGGTCTCCTTCCATAACCTTGCACATGGCAAGGTGTCCTGCCATTGGAATTATGTTGTATGCGCATCATTCAGCTGGTTCCCCGGGAGAGAACTCGCAACGCTTCGCGAAGCTTGGAGCATTCGTCGGGTCAGTACAGTTGCCTTGCCTCGTGCTCGGAAAGTTCTACGTTGGCATCAGTGCGTTCAGGCGGTCAACGTTCATCGATCGAGTCAAAGAGTTCACCGTGAGGGCTGGTGCTGAACGTACCTGTACAGGGAGCGCAGATAGTTCCCGTATCGAGTTTGCCGTGGCGTCGGAATCTAGTCTGACTTCTCTGCACAGTGTGTCCACTATTGCTGCCGCTCCGTGGAGCTCGCATTGTGGCCTGGACATCCAGATCCGAGGCGTTGGTCGGCGCCTTCAGATGCGTTCCCTCGTTGTTTCTCCTCGCCTGCCTCAGGCCCCTCGGCCCTCCTCCAGCCCCACTGCGGGTTCTAAGAGTAGCCGAGCCAAGGCTCTTCAGCAAGAGCAGGCTGAGAAGGCGAGAGCGCGCACCCGTGATAGTTATGACGAGTTGTTCCTCCGACTGTGCCCCCTCGGCCGGTGCTGGGAGGTCCGCGGATCCTGCGCTTTCGGCCCCGTCCTCCTCCCTCGGCCCCGAGGGGAGAGACTCTCCTCGCGGCGAGGACAGACTCGAGGGGCTAGATTTGGACTCTTGCATCCAGGAAGAAGATCCTTGGGCCGACGAGTCCTGTTTCTAGCCTGCCAGTGCGGTGACGGATCAGAACGTTCATCAGAATGAGCGTTTGACAGCGGCTGCGCGACCACTTTCGGGGAGAAACAATGGCCGGCGGCAAATTTCCCAAAAAGAAATGCCCCGCCCGGTCATCAGAATCGAGCCCCTGGACGGGGGCTTGGAGTTGGCGATGTGGAAGAAGTGGAAGGTTCAGTTTCTGTAATCATTGGTGATCCTGGGAACTCGAGCCTCGGCACGGCTGAGAGTCAATGTAATATCGCCCCTGACTCTGCTGATGCCGCTCCTGATCCCCTCCCGACTTTCTCTAGCCCCTCCGCCACGTGGATAGCCGCTTCGGCTGAAACTCCGTGGCACTCACTCTTCCCCTAACGTTTGGTCTACCATGAAAGACTCCCTCGCTTTCCGTGTCGGCGAGGCACACATTCGTCCCATCAGCAACAGGTTCGCCGGTGGGCCGACACGATGGAGCGCACCATCGTTCAGCATCATGGGGCTGCTGCTCGCGCAGGGCTCGGAAGGTCTCAGGGACCGCCCCTCGGCACGCCGACGTGTACGTCCTTCAGACGCACCCCGGTGTCGCCGCCCTGGTGCGTGGCGGGAGCCCACCGGTGCAGACCACCCCGAAACAGTCAGCACGATCCTGCACCCGACGGAGGGATTGCTCACAAGGGCGCCCCGCGAGCCGCACCCGCAGCCGCACCCGCAGGACACTCCGTCTGCTCCACCTCACGACACTGGGCTGGCACTGTATCTGGCGAACTGCAGGTGGGGCTGGTTCTCCGGTGCATTCCCACCACCAGACTGCGCGGGCTTCCCCCGGCTTTCGCGCGCAGGAGCAGAACGCCGAGACCCCCGTGTCGCTGTCTGGGTGCAGGGTTACCTCCGGCACTGCACAGTGAGCACGGGCCCCCGCTCGCGACAACGAGCCAAAATACTGCATCCAGCTTACGCGAGAGCCGCGCTGGTATGGCATGCCAAGTTTTACCACCTGTTGTGGAAGGCGCCAGGCAGGCTGGCACAGGAGCCGCTTGTGGACTCCCTGCCCGGGCACCCGAATCTCAACACTTGCCGCTGCCATCCTCACCGCCGGGGCAATGAGAACCGCACGCGACGCAGATCACCGAGGTAGCTGAGCCCCGACTCTCGCATGGGGCTGCTGCTCCCTCTCGCTCGCGCCGGCTCGGTTGTCGGCTGGAGGCCATGGGAGTGAAGCGGGCAGAACATGTCAGGAGTCAGCCGACGAGGAAAGCATCTCAGCATGGCGGGGAGTCGGCTTCACACGCTCGTCCAACGCACGCTTCGCCATCGTCGTCGAGGCAACGGCCTGCAACAGATATGGCAGCTGGCGGAGAGTGCGAGGCGTCTGGCTGATCAACCCCAGGACGGTGCCAGCAGCGCTTTTCCTGTGTCCCGGGGGAGCTGGCACGACCTCCTCGGGGCCGTGCGCAGGCTGGGGGTCCTACCCGTCGGCGAGCTCGAGCGGTGGGAGGAGATCACCTTTCGCGCTGCGCGTCGGGCTCAGAGTCGGATCTCTCAGGAGTGGATCGGATCAACTTCCTCTCAGGGTCAGACGCATCGCAGCATCAAAGATCAAGATCCCGAGCCAGGCGAACCTCATTATGAGTTTGGTACGCAGGTACATCCATTGGACACTGTCGATCAGAAAGTTCGGAAGTATCACTCGCTCTGGCAGGTTACGGCGACCCTCGAGTCCACCGAGGGCACGTTCCAGCTCATCAGGGACCACGCCCAAGTGGAGCAAATTCCCCCTCTCTCGGAGGCGCACCTTCGCCTCGCTCTTCGGCACATGAAGGCTCGTGCAGGCGTCGGAATTGACAGGCTGTCACCGACCGACTTCGAAAGGCTGCCGACCGAGGGGATTGGCGAGCTACGCGAGTTGTTCGCCATGGTCGAGGAGGGTCTCTCCTGTCCGTGGCTGGTGGTATGCAGGATCGGCCGGCTGCTTGCCAAGAAGTCGGGCGGCGATCGGGTAATCAGTCTCTTATCAGTGCTGCGTCGCGTGTGGCCGATGACAAGAAAGGTGCAGATGATGGAGAAATCGGCTTTTCAGCACGATGGCTGGGACGCGGCACTGGCAGGAGACAGTGCCCTGAAGGAGGCTTTCATTCGTGCGCTGCAGGACGAGTCTCAGCTTCGCTTGCGCATAGCTCATGGACATGGGTTTCTAGACGTGCAGCAGTTCTATGACGGCATCGAGTGGGACCCCCTGGTGACGTGCGCCATCAAGAAGGATTTCCCGCCGGTCATTCTGTATCTAGAGCTTCAATGATGCTTGGCGCCGAGGGTGTTGTCGCAGCTCGGCTCATTTTCTGCGACTGCCCAGACCAGTGGTGCAAGACCTGAGGGATGGAACGCGAGTTGCCAAGTGCCTCACGGCTTTTGTGTGTGAACGG